ATGCTATCTTCCCTTAAGTCTTTAGCTAGTTATAAGAGCCTCGTAGAGCATATCTTCCTTTCCTTATCGACCTAATATAGGAGGAGTTTGAAATATACCTTTAGTATATACGTACGATGCCTAAGTCTAAGCAGGAAGGCCGTAATGCCCTTTAAACTTATAGTATAAGCAACTAAATCGTCCGCTAGCACCCTACCCTATAGCTCTTAGCTGTCGCCCTTCGACCTAATTACGTATACGAGCTTATCTCTATCCCTAAGCCTACTAAGTTCTTTAAGGTTAGCGGTACTTATAAAAACTGTCCTTCTAAGGAGTCTGCTCGTCTCGGACAAGATATAGTTAAGCTCGTAGCTAGCGAGGGTACTAGTTACCTACGTATTAAGGTCTACCTTATGTCTAAGGATAAGACTAGCTGCTCTACTATTATCGAAGGTATATATTAGCCCGAGGTCTTTACAAACTAGGTTAAGAAGCTTGAGGCTCGTAGCCTAGTCCTACTAAGCAAGATCGGCAAGCTTACTAATAAGCACCTTACCGACGACGACCTCGACTATATATTCGATAGTTAGCCTAATAGTAAGGGGCGTAAAGCGGAGTAGATCCTCAACCCTCTAAAGGAGTGCGAGGTCTCTATTTAGATGCTATACCTACTATATAGTAATCTAAAGACTAAGAGCAACCGTATGTTAATTAACCTAGGCTACTCTCGCGTTATTAACGGCACTAAGATTAAGGGTTACGATAACTTAACCGTCGCTAAGGTTACTAAGGCGCACCGCAATCTAACCGCCCTTCTAGGTTCGAATACCTTCGTACCGTTCCCCTTCCCTACCGCTATCTTAGTCGAAGGCCTTAGTTGTATCTCCGACGCCCTAGTTAGTAGGATTCCTTAGTTAAGTTACGTTGTTTAGAACGAAGTTAAACAGATCCTCTAGCTTAATAACGAGGGACTTAAGGAATATCTATACGATTAGGAGAAAGCTGCGACGGAAAAGGCTACTAACCTCCTCGTTAATTAAGCTTTCTACGAGAGATAGTACTTCGGTACTAACAGCTTTAACGTATGCGGAGGAGATTTCGAGAACCGACTAGCAGATGAGGTTATTGCTAGTAAGGATTACGGCGCGTTAAAGCAATAGTAGGTCTATATAGTATTGCTTAGGAAGTTGTTTTTATATAATTATAGTATCTAGGATTAATGCTACCCCGGGGGTATTATTGCGGAGTTCTAAAAATAGCCTTAGCTAAGAACGCTAAGGATATATGCATGTTTGTTTTGAGCGCGCAATATAAAGCGTATCTAGTTAGATACGAAGAAAGGGAGGGATATTAGCTAGTAACCGGCCCTACACCTATAGGCTAGTTTTGAGCCTATATAAGAGGCCTCCTTCTATAGAGTAGACAGATTATCAACCTCGTATAGCACATTGTTTATATTATACTTCTATAATGCCTATATTGCAGGGCTCTAGTTATTAGCCTAAGCGACAGTCTCGTTATCCTATCTTGCTAAACATAGCTACCTATATTGCTATAGGTTATGTTACCCTCGGTAGCCTATACTATTACTACGAGTAGTAGTAGTAGTATTAGTTTCCGTCCTTTACTACTAAAGCGCAAACCGCGGCGCCGGAGAAAGCAACCGATAAGGGCAATTTAGACTTAAGCAAACCTATAACTCGCGTAGATAAGGAGATCGTAGACGCCGCTATCTATATAGGACTAGCTCCCTAAGGACTCCTTACGGATTCGACAATCCGCCTTCCTATAAGCCGTTTCGACTTTCCGAGACTTATAATAGCTTTCTATAACGCAGACTTAGAGCGGATACTGCCCGGTAACAAGCTACGTCTATTAAGGGAGTAGGAGAAGGATTTTATCCGCCGCTCCGTAGCTTTTTACGAACTTAATATCGATACTAGCTAGCTTATCCTCGCGATGTTCCTAAACGAAGAATAGAAAGCCTACCTCTACTATCTAATACTAGTTATATTAAATTTCAACTACGAGTACGGAAACATTCACTTCTAGGTCTCCTAAATACTAGTATCCGCTTAGGATAAGATCGAGAAAATTAATAAAGCCGACTCTTTCCCGAATCGAGATTTTATTACTAGTATATCTAGAGACGATAGAGACGTAGATATAAACGCTTTCCGTAACTAGACGAACTAGATACTAAGTTACGCCTCTAAGCAAATAATAAACGTTATTTAACAAAACAGCGACCGCTTAATACTTTACCTAATAAGTAAGCTCCTTATATCGGCGGTACCCTTACTATTAAAAGCCGCCGTCCTTCGATACTAGATAAAGGCGCTCGTCCTAATAGACGGGAATAACGAGATCTAGCCTATACCCTAGACGACTATTATTTACTATAAGAGAGATAACGACGTTAGATAGCTACTTAAGCACTTCGCGTAGGAACTCGACGACCGAAGCGGTAGACGGCCGCTATAGCAAATCGCGACTAAGGATACTAGGTACTCTAGGTCTACTATAGACAACGCGTTTTAGCCCCCTAGGGAGGATATTCTCGATAAGCTCGAGGCCGTAAAACAGCTATGTTTCGCGGAGCTAATATATGCCTGCCCTGTAAAGATAGTCTAGTAAATTCCGCCGAAGCCTACGTCTATCGACGATAGCCGTACCTTACTAATCGAGGCGATACGCGACTATAAATAGGACGACGACGCCTTTTAGAAGGCATTAGCTACGTTGCAAGGAAATTAGTAAAAGGACACCGACCTATAAGAATTTAAGTAATACGTCGGCCTTCTTATAAGAGCCGTCGGCGACGCGCTCGAAGATAGCGGCTATAATTAAGTAATAGACGACGAAGACCTCGCCGAACTAGACGCCGACGAGAGGTTATAGTACGAGAGATATATCGCGCTATATTAGAAGTTCGGTACCGCGTTTACCTAACTACTAGAAGAGAATTAAAGAGAGGTTATAGACTACGGCAACTAATTCGACTAGGAAGGTACCGCCTAGGACGGCAAATTCGACTCTACTAACCTCGAGGACATTATAGAGTTTATAAATACACTCGCCGATTTCTAGTTAGAAGACGGTACTATTAAATACGATAACGAAGACGAGCCGACCCTAAGTCTACCCCTAATTATCGATTCTATCTAGCGTATATCTAAAGAACCTAACTCCGCTACGAATGCGATTAAAGCTATAAAAGACCTACCGCTACTATAGTACCTTAGATAAGAGGAAAGCGACCTTTTTAAACTGCTTACCGCGCTCTATAGATTAGTACGACCGAGCGGCGATAAGGGCCTACGTAAGGCGCTCGGAAAACTTACCGTAGAGACTTTTAATAGTCTGTATCCTACTAATAAGAAAAAGGGCCTCCGCTTTCTAGAACTGCGCCCTCTATAGTAAAGAGAACCCGATAACGAGCATCCTAGAGATCCTATAGTTAGCGAATAGCAGTACTTCTTACACTCTCGCGCGTTAACGACCTAGCTAGAGGAAATAGGATATTAAGCATTAGCAGGCAAAGAAGAATTAGGATAGCGAGACGAAAAATAGGGGCGTATAGCCTAAAATCTCTTTTGTTATATATATAGATACTAAGTCTACCGTCCGCGTAGTCGCGGACATTTCGGGACCGGGGGATTCTATTACGAAGGCAGGTATAGGTATAGGCTAGGTAGGAGGCCCTAGCCTCCTATAGTATATACTTCTCTAAGCCTAGATAGACTTAGAATAATTATCTACTTTATAATATACGATATATAACACTAGGGGGATAGTCGTCGTAGGCTCTTCCTAAATCCCCTAAAGCCTTACCGCTTTAGTACCTATATCTCTTTACAAGCGCTAGCGCTTAGAGGGAGGGGGATAGTCGTTCCTTCTAAACCCCCTCCCTTACCGCGCGGAGTGCTCCTACCTTTGCTTACGTTAGCGCTTAGAGGCTAGGGGGATAGTCGTCGCGGGCTCCTCCTAAACCCTCTAAAGCCTTACCGCTTTAGTACCTATATCTCTTTGCAAGCGCTAGCGCTTAGGGGAAGGGGGATAGTCGTTCCTTCTAAACCCCCTCCCCTACCGCGTAGACTACTTATATATCGCCTGCTTTATTTATCGTATTCTGCTTCTCGTAGATATACTACTTAGCGTAGGAAATCGTATCGGCCTTAGGCTGCCGTCGTTATCGTATTAATTACTTTTGTTAGCGTAGTTTTGCTAGAAATGTGCTTAATCGACTTAACTTAGTCGGCTTCGATCTAGGTCTAGTTTCGTTAGGCTAGAGACTGCTTATTTATTAAAAGTATTAATTATTTATACTTCTAGTACGTAGATTAAACGCTTAACCTATAGCATTGTCTAAACCTTACCTCGCTACCTGCCTACCTTTTACGCTTCCTTCTAACTACGCTACTATAACGCTAGCGACGACAATAGTATATTAGTATATAAGAATTGCAGCCGTACGTCTAATTATAATACGAGCGCGTTCTTGTCTACTATAATAGGCGAACGTAAGAGGTATTACAGCACTGCCCCCGCTTTAAGTGTATTTATCCGAGTTCTTTGCGTCTACTCTAGAATAAATAGACCTAGCCCCCTCTTCTTCTTAGACGTACGCAGATTATATAATCTATCTAAACTAAGCTAGGGTGCCGAGTCGTAATTTTAGTAGGTTTCTTAAACCGCCGTAAGCCGATCTTTATTGTCGAGGTTTCTTCGTAAGGTCTTATAGTTGCTTTAGCTATTAATTAAATAGGTTTAGTAGCCTTAGATGTCTAATTAAAAAACTTAGTTCGTCTAGTTTCTATAGATATACTACGGTATAAGGGGAGTAAGCGCAATAGGTATATTTACTTAGTTAACTTATAATATGTCTCGAAGGGCTAGGTATAACAATATTTGACCGCTATAAAGCCCCGGCCGATTCGCTCTATAGTTTTGCTCTAGTATTGTCCTTTTGACCTACTAATCTCTATATGCATCTCTTTCTGTTTTACTTATCTTATACGGTATCGTATTATCGTATCGTCGTGTCGCCTTTAAGATCGCAGTTTCTATCGTTCTATATATATATATAATAGCGCGTAGTACTAGTGTAGTATTATTGTGCTTTGTTATTATTATCGCGCCTAAGAACTTTTGCCTTAGGTTAGGCGCACGTGATTTTGTATTCTTTTCTACTAATTAGAACGTCCGCTGCATTTTATATAAGAGCGCGCCCTTCTTACAAATCTAGCCCCGATATACGCCTACATAATACACAAATAACAAACAATAATAACGTACCTACACAACCGTAGGCTCGTAGAGCCTGCTAGACTCTAATCGTTATTTCGCGCTCGCGTTAGGCTAAAAACAGATACCTTCTATAACCTTCGTCGTAAGCTCCTTAGGTTGCTCTAGGTGCCTGTTTTTTTAGCCTTCCGCTTCGCTAGAATTAGTAATTAGGGCTAGCTTCCGAACCTTCCGACTAGCTAATTACAAACATACCTAATAATTCTTCGCCTATAAGCCTAAGAACAAGCCGTACTAAACCTAGTAAAGAGTATAGCGCGTAGCCCTAGACAGCGAGATAGAGGCAATAGTAATACTTTTTAGGCATTCTAAAGTACGGAGATTAGAGAGGTAGTTAATGCGACGGACTATACGTGCTTTGTTTAGCGCTATATATACCGTTTATAGGTAAGTAATACTAGGTAGGGTAGATAGCAAATAGGAATAATAATCGCCTCGTCTTAGAGAACTAAGAATTAATCCTTCTATTAACATTTTCGCGACTACTTTATATAGGCAATCTAATAGATTATATTAAAACGCATAACTACGCCCGCGGATATAAACCGCTATTTTATATAGTTACGACGCTATATTTAATCTTCGTAAATTAAACAATAATTAGGTATATAGAGGTAGCCCGGTTTAACTTTAGGCGCTCCGCTATAGCTTTCTCTATACCTAATATAGTTAGTATCGATGCCTAAGGATATAGAATTACATAGAAGAATCTATAATACTCGGAGCGCCTAAGAGGAGGTAGCGTTATATAATCGCTACTAGGTCGAAGAGATCGGATATTTTCTAGGCGCTTAGCGGCGGCGGCGGTAGCACGTATAGTGTCGTCTATCTATAACCGATATACTAGTATCTAGAGCAAATATTACCTTTACGAGCGAAGGCCTTAGCTAAGACGTCTTTTAGCAAGCTATAGGAGTATATTCTACTATGCCTCCCTACCTAAGCTCGTCGACGAAGGCATTATAGGCGTTTTATACTATATAAACGAAACATTTACTATATCCCCCCTAATAGCGCCTAGTATTAGCGCCGAACGCCTCGAAGAACTTCTACTCCCTTTTACTATACCTACTATATTACCTACTAAAAACTCCTTAAAAAACTCCCTACCTACCTCTTATACTTTACTATAATGTTCTCTATTAACCTCTAACCTATCCGCGTCGGAATCGTATAATATAGAGGCCGCCTAATCCCTCGCTTAATAGTCGTAAAAAAAAACAACTCCGCTCTTACGAATACGTACTAACGAATCGTATCCTAAGGCGCAAAGATTATAATCGTAGGAATTAACGCCTCCTTAAAAACAAAAAAAAAATTCCTTATAGCGAATTCGAAGTAGAAAATTCCGTTAACCCGATCTACTAGTACTAGTCTAGTAGAGGAGAGAACTATTATTAGATACTGTCTATTATAACACTATAGAACTTTACCGCTCCGTAGAAAGGAAATAATAAATAACGTAGATATAATAATAAATTAACTTATCCCTATCCTCGAAGAAATTACATCGGAGGGTAGGATATATATTAATAAGGTAGGTAAGATATATAACATATAATAGCATATTTTTGATTTAATTAACGCGAGAATATATATAAGCCGAATTCTAAGATCCCTATTAGAAACAAAATTCTTTCGGGGTTGAATTCTGAACGGTTGCGGCCCCGGGGGCCGGGAAATCAAGAAGAAGTATGATCCGGGGACCGGAGGATTTGTTTTTTTTTTTTGCGTTAACTAGTGTTGGAAGGGGGATAGGAAGTAAGGTAAGGAGGAGTGAAGATAGGATAGAGAAAATCGGGGGTAACTGCTTCTTATTATAAGATCGATCGATAATATCACCGAAGCATGGATGATATAGTTCTACACTGAGCAAGATAGGATGTGCCTATTATACAAGTCGATCTTCCAGCCATATCACACCCACCTTATCCTACGACGACAACAACCAAAGAGGACTTCGGCTTGCCACGCGCAGATGGATATCTTTGACATGCATAGCGAGTTCCATTAGAGCAGAGCAGGTTTTCCATGATCCGATCCTACCGAACGTCCCTGGCGGTGTGGTCTACGATGTGTTTCGGAAATTCCTGGGTAAAAAAAAAAAAAAAAAAAAAGCACAAGATTCACGACGACGATGTTCAAAGATCATCACATGGCGAAGACACCACGTCCTCAGTAGTGCTGTGGTAGGAGGCGAGCATGCATTCCAACGGCTGAGAAGAAGAAGTCTGGCGGGAAGGGAAGGCTGTGCTCAAAATTCGCAATGAGAAGCATGGGTCACTGCATTGAGTTGACGAGGAGATTGAAAGACGGATGTAGTAAAAGAAGATCGATCATGTAAAGGTTTTCAAAAAAAAGGCCTACTCGTAGAATGTTGACGCAATCAAATCAATCACACAATCTCTGTATCAAACCCTGATGTTAAAGAAACCAGTCTCAAACCCCATCCATCGACGTGATAATCACAAAAAGCCAAAAAGTCCAAGTCCAAGTCCCAATCTCCTCCTCCTACCTCCCCCCCTTCGCTTCTCTTCTCCAACAAATCGCAATCTCCCTCACCCACCCTGCCTCAAAGGATGTAAATGAGTCTTCCCCTTCAACGAAACATCCCCAGCAGCAGGACTCGCCGCACGACTTCCTCTCCCCTTCATCGGAGATCCAACTCGAGGAGATCTCGGTGGAACACTATTCTGCCTGGTACCGATTCTCCCCCTCCCAGAATCCTTCAATCTTAAGAGTTCTTCATCCTTGAATTTCAGTGCTGCGTCACGATTCTTCAGCGTAAGTCGTAGTCGGGTGTTTTCGCGTTCAAGGGCTTTGTTGTGGCCCTGTAGACTGATTTCTCGGGCTCGGGCGGCTTCACCTTGCGCCTTGTCCATAGCCTCGGCCAATTTGCTCTCGAGGTCACGGTTCTGGTTTGCGAGCTCGATGGCTCTGGATGAGGTGTCTTGGTACATTGACCGTGTCCATTCAAGATCTTTCATGGTTGCTTCGGTACGTTTCTCGGCTTTATCTTTGTCGATCTTGAATTGCTCCACAAGGACTCGCAGTCGCTCGAATTCTGCTCTCTCAGGCACGCTGTGTTCTAGCAGGCGTTGGTTTGCATCTGCGAGGGCATCTTTGAGCTGTGTCCGTTCTGCTCGAAGGTTGGTGTTGTTAGCGTCTGCCCCAATCACACGCTGAACGGCAAGCTGGGCTTCATTGTTGGCACTGTCCCGTTCGCGAGTTACTTCCACAAGCTTCTTCCGTTGGTCTTCATAGCGGTACTGAAGATCCTCGAGCGCCTTCGTATGCTCCTCGAGTCGATTCTGTGCATTCTGGAGTCGATCCTGTAGCTGCTGCTCGGTCCTGCTGATGCTTGGGGATGGATCTGCAGGCCTAGTGATGTCTGCAGTAGGATTCTTTTCAAGCGAGTCGCTGACATGCGTAAGCTCGATATCTTGAGGGTTGATCGTGCTTGGCATTACAGGCCCTCCAGGCGAGAACTGACGAGCACGCTTGGTCGACTCATTGGTGTTGTCGTTGTCGACATCCATCTCTTCGAGCGGTCGCTTGGTCGCTCCCGATGCGTCAGTCTCGTGCGAAGCCGAAGGATCAATCTCCGTCTGATCAATCTCCGTCTCCGTCTGGCTGGCGAGCTCCTCAAGTTGACTGAGTCCAGTTAATGGCCACTCAGATGCAGTATACTCATCATTATCATCGAGGTAGTCTGCAATAATGGTAGCAGCATCCTTCACATGCGCTTGAGTGCCTTCAAGCCTTCCCGAGTTGTATTTGAGCTCTTGCGTGGCCTTCATAAGCATTCTTGTTGCGACATTAGCTGGTAGATTCTTGTGCAAGCACATCTCCATATGCTCGACAGTTCTCGGTAGTGCCAAAATAAGCAGTATTGACCACGCATCACCTCCAACCGTCTGCTTGCGTAGAGTCCTTATGCGCGGGTCTTTCGCATCGACAGAAGCGTCCAGTGCAATCACAAGATCAACAGGTTGGAGCGGCGACTCTGCACTCAGGTCCGAATCAAGATCGACAACCGATACTCTGACGCCTTCCGTACTTCGAAAGCGAGGGTCTTCAGTGAGATCCTTGCTCACCCGGCGATGAGGAACATAAGTGCCACTAAGAAAGGTCTCGACCATCGCGGGCAGGCGCTGGCCTTTCACGACGATAGCGATGTGTGTATTCTTGGCTCGTCCTTGTAAGCGATTGATCAGTTCATCCAGGAAGTGAAATTTGGCGCTACATTTGACATCCCACTTGGCCTGTCTCTCAGGCTCCGTCGTTTGGGACAGCGTCTCTGGATTGATAAGATCAGGGTGCATAGCGATGTCTCGTAGGCGGTCGAGAAATCTATCTGCCTCAGCGATGAGCTCTGGTGAAGGGTGTCGTTCGTCCAAGAATCTTCTCATAAGGTCACTCTCATAGTAGATATTTTCCTGGTACTGATCTCGCTGGAGTGGCGAAGGCGCGACAGGGACTGTAAATGCTCTGGCTTCCTCCGTGTTCACGCTCGTTTCGCGAGGGAGCTTCGTAGTGTCCTGGTCAGATCGAACGCCATTCTGACGAGGTAGAAAGTCGTCATGGTTTTGAGCTTGGGGTAGAAGCGTCTCGTATCGCTCCGAGGTGTTCATTTCCTCCTTGGTAATGATGGGCGACGGCTCTACTGCAGGCACCATTGATGGCGACCTGGTGTTCTCGGAGACAGCTGGTAGGGGGGACCCAAGTCGGCTAGCTTGAGCGGCTGCCTGCGACGCTGCGACCTCATTTCTAATTTCTAATGGCAGCGCCGATGCTGGCTGCTCGTGGTTGATAGATGGAGTCGGTGTAAATGATCTTCGCGATGCTGCCTTCCGTTGGTCACGCTTCGCTTTCAATTCCGCCGCAAGAGACACGCGCTCACGTTTCGATGAAGAATCCATCTTTGACCTTCTCGGTGAGACGGAAGGCGAGAATGTACCGAATGGCCGCGGAGCGCTTTCGCCAAGGGTGCCGAGAGACCGTGATGGTATTGAAGGAAATGGACTCGAAGAGTGTGACCGATGAGACGCTACACTTTGGTCCCTTGATGCTGCAGGCGGAAGTTGCGGGCGAACAGCGGTTGTTGCTGAAGGCGAGGAGGCGAGATCAGCGAGCGCCTGCACGACTATCGGCAGCTGTGTCTGAAAAGGGAACGAAGACGAATGTTCCACTGACGAGGTGGGCAGGTGTACCCTCGCAGCTCGTCCAGGAGTAGTGCCGTCCGCTAGCGAAGATGGGAGCGGACGCTGACCAGCAGGTGGAGGCTCGAAGTCTGCTGTCCCTGGAGGTGTCCTTGATTGAATTGATGAAATGGGTTGACTGGATTGACCACTGTGGTCTTCGGCACTGGAAATGATGACAGTCTCTTGAGGACCAGCAAGATTGCGGCCAAGCTGTGATGACTGAGTGTCGGCACTGGAAATGATGACAGTCTCTTGAGGACCAGCAAGATTGCGGCCAAGTTGTGATGACTGGGCGCTAGTAGGCTCGTGGTTCAGAAGTGAGCCGACAGATATTCCTGCAGCTCGTACTTGTGATGAGCCTCCACGAGCAGGAGAGGAAGCGGTAACAGGCCGCTCAAAAGCCCGGGGTTCAGATTGCCTAGGTTCTGGTGACTTGACAGCAATCTCTTCAGCAGGTTCGTCCCTGGGTTGTGTGACAGGCTCGTCTTGCTGGTGTTCAGAGGGTGACGTCCGATCCTGCTGCGGACCGACCTCAGCCTGTGTTTGGCGATTAGGGTGGATTGAAGCAGAGGCCTGCGAGTTTGGTGTTCGACGTTCCTCCTCGGTGGCTTGTTGGTCGACGAGAGGTTCCTGATCGCCTTCCTGTGTGCTAGGCTCGTCTTGCTGCTGTTCAAAGGATGACCTCCGATCCTGCTGCGGACCGACCTCAGCTTGTCTTTGGCGATTGGGGTGGATTGAAGCAGAGACCTGCGAGTGTGGTGTCCGACGTTCCTCCTCGGCGGCTTGTTCCTGGTTGATGAGAGGTTCTTGATCGCCCTCCTGTGTGCCAGTCACTTCTTCCTGGCGTTGACCTGCAGTTTGTGAAAGATTCGTAAAGCCAGATATATCTTGCTGACTTTGAGAATCGGGGATAAATCGACTCAAGCTTTTGTCACTCGTGTCCTGAGTCGACTTTGGTCGTCTTTCCGGTCCTGTGTTTGGAGCGGCACTTTCTAGTCCTGTGCCTGGAGCGGCACTGCTCGCTCGATGTGCAGGGTCGCCTCCACTGCTCTGTAGAAGCTCAGTGCTAGGTTGGGGAGCAGAAGATGCAGGTGCCGACGCTCCAGATAGACCTTCTAAAGTGCTTGGGTGCGATGATGTGACTCTCTCGTAAGCGCCTCTAGCCCAGCTCGATGGTGGATCAGAGAGCTGTACTACAGCGCCTGCTAATGTCACAAGCCTAGAGGAAGAGCCTTCGGAGATGGGTTGAGGGCTCTCTGCGCTCTGCTCTGCGCCGCTAGCAGGCTGCTGTACTGCAGGGCCTTCTGTTGTCACAGGCCTGGAGGAGGCTCCGAAGATGGGTTGAGGGCTGTCCGCGCTCTGCTCTGCGCCACTAGCAGTCTGCTGACTCTCACCGATCTCGGGTTCTGGCTCTGGTTCTCGCTCTGGTTCTTGCTCCGGCTCCGGCTCGGGTGCAGGTGCAGTTCCAGGTGCAGGTCCAGGTTCTGAAGCTTGAGTGTCGACTCGGGACTCTTCAATTCGCGCGCTTGGCCTGTTCGCGCTTCCTACCGATGCTTTCAGAATGATCTTCCCGCCCCGGGCTCGTTTCTTCTTGGGAGTCGGTCTAGACGCAGGGGAAGGCGCAGTGTTGGCTGTTGCAGGAGAGGCAGCGATCTTATCCCTGGCAAGAACTGTGTTCCCAGCTATGGTTTCGAATGTTAGTAGGGATGTGCGAAATGAGGATGGGATTCAGGCTCACATCTGCGCTCGGCTTTCTGCCTTTCCCAGTCGTCAATGGCAGCTTGGTTGGCGTTGCTCTTGGGCTCCCACGTGGGTGGGTAGGACTCTCCCGTAGTCGGATGATCAGCCCAATCAATGTGGTATTTGGTGAATGTCTCGTCAAGAATGGAGCGAATCTGATATTCCTCCTGGGTATCGACTTGCCCGCGAGGATGTGGCGTCGCGGATACTCCTGCGAGGTGGTCAGCAATTGCGCGTTTGGGGGCATTCGCATCCGACGAGCGCAGGGTCATCATGCTCGCACAACGAGTGATCAGATGCGGCATACCTGAGGGTTTCTTGGTTCTCTTCCTGGCGGGAGTCGATGCTGGCTGAGCAGTGCGCTTCCTTTTAGCGGCCATTCTGGCGGGGCGCGACTCGGACCCTTGGCGACAGCATATCTGCGAGCGTCAGTGTGTGGTCTGGGGATGGGTTCCAATGCGCGCGTGTGTCTTGCGGAAGGAGGCCGTTGGGCTGCATACAAAGCGTGGTGTGGTCCATCAAAGGGCCAGTCTCCAGAGGCGCAGGCGGCTTCGGGAGTCCCGCCAAGCCAAGGGTCGGAACGGCTTCCGGACTGCCACCGGGCCACGGACGAAGAAGACGAGAGTGATGTCCACGTCGCGGCGCGTCTGCTGGTCCGCGTTCTGGGGGAGCGATGGCAGTGGCAGTGGCAGTGGCAATGGCAATGGCTGTGGCTGTGGCTATGGCAATGGCAATATGATCGAGCGGACGGTCGACTGTGGAGGTTCACATCAAGGTGATGTGTTTGCTTGAGGTGGAGTAAGGAAAGCGCAGAAGGTGGAGGCAGTCGGAGCCGCAGCCGCAGCCGCAGCCGCGCGACGCTTATACTTTTACAACAGAAGACGGCGAGGTGAAGTGAAGTGAGAAGTGAAGTGAGCCTCATTCCTTTCTGCTCTCGCGACGCTTGCACTTCCACAAGTGAAGTGAGAATGAAGGAACTGACAGCGAGCTGAGAAATGTTGAGCCTCCTTACGGCTTTCTGCTCTCTCTTCCGTCACACAGAACACTTGGCAGCAAGTCCGCCGACCCACAGCTGCGACACCTCATTCTCCTCGTTACTGCAGGCAACAAACACCATGACGTTTCTCGACCATTTTCCGCCTCCTCAACTGATGGAGCATGACTTCGGGCACGGCGAAACAGACTTGAGGAATCCGCTCTACGAATTGTGACCCTTCTCCACCTGGCCCTTCTGCTCCTTCATTCTCTTCCGCTCGAGCTCCTTGACCATCTCCGGTGGGCTGTCTTCGATGAGGTCGCTGTCCTCATTCAGTCCAGTCCACTTGGGCAGGCCATCTGGAATGTCCATGACACGCTGACCATAGAACATGTGAAGTCTAATAGGCGTCAGCGTGGTTTGTCAATGCTTTCTCGGAGCACGCCAAGTGCCTACCGAGGCTTGAAGTTCTTCTTGTCCTCCTCCGACTTGAAATGAATCAAGCTGGGGAAGAGCAAGATCATGTTGCGGCCCTCATCCATGATCGGGCTGTGACAGTACGAGCAGCGAACCTTGCAAGGTAGCTTGTGCTCGACCGATTTGGACGTTGGATCATACCACTCGAGATGGTGGTGGCCGTCTCGGAAGTTGATGTCGTCCTTGTGGAAGATGGCAGCCCATTGGAATGGAGCAGCTACACGACCACATCAGCGAATCTGTTTGTCCTATGCATCTCTTCAACAACATTGCTCACCATGCTGAGTCTGGCAGGTTGTGCAGTGGCAGAGCTTGCTGTCCAATGGTACCTCTCGAGACAACTCATACTGCACCTTGCCGCAATGGCAGCTCGCCTCGTATCGGTGCTTGAAGTGCTCGTTGGAGTCGTGCATTCTATACGGTGCTTTCTTCTTCCACTCCTCCACCTTCGTTGCCTGTTCGTTGTGGGCATCGCCATTGGCAGCCTCCTCTTGCTGACCCATTCTGGACATTGCGAAAGATCTCTTGATTGACGCTTGGAACGATGACGGGAAGGCGCGGCGCTGTGAGCTGATCAATCTCGTGCGCTCAATGTGCTGGAATGCTGAGCGAAGCGCTCTGGTAGTGATCATGGAGGGTGTTTGATTGAGCAATGCTCAACAGGCTGAATTTCAACCAAGAAAAGCTGTGACGCTTCCATTGCATCGTGTTTACGCACTGTGCAACTGCTCGCGTGCGCCATTGCAAATAATAATGATCAGTACATCACCCCACTTCGCTCACTTCCACAATAACCATCGCCGAGCCTATCGTCTCCGCAACCTTAATTTAAACGAGCAAGATTAAGTTTCGAGATCGAAACTTTCTAGTGCCAAGAATAGGCGACGTCGAGGGAAAAGTACTACATTTCAACGTGACAGAAATGCATCCTACGAAAGAGAAGACATTGTGAGGCCGACAGTCATGCCATCTTCATAATTCATTCCCGCAAAGACTATTTTATCTCATGAAGCGCCCTGCAGAGCAGCTACAGCTTCTTTATTGCTAAGACCCAGAACATTTGTGAGGTATTCGAGCCTGTCATGATCGTTAGCATAGGCCACCATACCCCCAAAGTTAGACGGAGAAACTCACTGTGCTGCCCTCGCTATTCTCTGCCGCACACTCTCAAACTCCTTTTCACATTTGTCCCACACCATCTCCCTTTTATCTGGGTCCACCGACTTGACTCGCAATCGAAAGTGTCCACTAACTGGTCGATGATCTGATACTCTGATTTGATCCCACCTTCGATACTCGTCCATCTTGACCTTCCCAACACCACGATATAAGATCCGGTCACACCAAGCCGGCGACCTGCGCTTCTCGGAAGTGTCGTACTCATCAGTATGCACATTATACTTGTAAGTAGGCGCAAAGTTGATGGGCGATTCGATAAATGCTCGTAAGCGGAACCCAGGGTTCTTCCTTCGGCTCAAGAGGAGTTGGTCTCGTTCCAACAGTCTGGCGAGATTGCCTTGTTGGATATGTTTGATCACGCTGTCCCGGCCCATCGTGTCGATACGGTAGTTCAGGTCGCCGTTGAGGATGCAAATTTCATGGTCCATAATCATGCTGCCATCACCTCCTGCTGCGAAGACGTCTGTGTGTGTCGCGACTTCGCTATCATTCAGTGGATATGACGGCAGCGCATTGGCTTCAAGGATCTCGGCGATGTCATTGTTTCGATGCATCGTTTGTGTCTGTCCGGCTGCCAAATGGCAATTGATGAAACACAGGCTGCTATCGTCAAGCACCATTCTGACAATGATCGCACCCTTGTTGCCGTGCATACCTCCCATACCACGCTTGACTTCTGCGGTGTGCACATATCGAATGCGACTCCGTTCAGCGGATTTCACGAACACGCATGTGAACAAGCCGACCATACTGGCAGTATGAAGCAAGGTATAGGTCTGGTCAGTGGGCATGTAGTCATCGATGCACTTCCCGAGATGGTCTCGCCACGCCCGATATTGATGAGACATGTGCTGTTGCTCGTCCGGCTCTTTCTTGCTCTTCTTGAAGAAGGATTTTGCTGTGACTTTCTTGTCTTCAAGATCGACCAGTTCCTGAAAGCCAAAAATGAAGAAGTCGGGCGACTTGCGCGATGTCAGATATTCTCTGAGAAAGTTGCTGTCTTCGCGACTGTGCTGTAAGTAGGAGGGTTTCGCTGCGCCTGCATTCCAGGTCATGACCGCTGCAGTCAGCTCACGGAAGGCGCAGTAGTCCGAGTCTCTTGCACTCATCCGTGCCTCTAGCCAGTCGTCTTGTAGCATACCATCCCAGATCTTGAGCAAGTTATCAAGACCGAGCGTGATAACATTGAGACGCCCCATCTTCCACATGGCAGACGGATCAGCGATGATGCTACAAATTTGCTTCTCGTGGGCTTTCCAATCCTTCTTCACAGTCCAGGGTGTAGTCGACGTATCGTAAACATATGCCATGCCAGTGCTGTAACCAGCCCACAGATACTCGCCAACGCCCGCGAGAGAGCTTATCCGGTAGACACTGACATTAACAATGGCTTGGCAGGAGAAGTCTCGGCGGTTGTATATGCTGCATTTGCCATCAGAGTGACCGAAGTAGATCAGATCTTGTTGATGATTTACGGTCGCGCCCGACGTGACGTCGCCTGTGCCAGACTGTGAGAGCGGAGTCCGTGTGAGCTGAAACTCCGTGTCCGAATTCGCGCCTGGCATGAAAACTCTGATCTCCTTCCCTGTTGCGAACCACAACTGGTGACCAGCAGCCATCGAGAAGGAGTGGCCTTTCGGGACACGCCAGTTGTTATGTTGCGAGTCCAGACTGGGCATGCCTTTGTGATCAGGCTTCCAGACGTAAAGCTCGCCACCATCGTCGAGTGTCCAGAGTTCCGACGCATAACGGAACATGCGAACAACTTCTCGCCTGTTGTGCACATTTGACTTGGTCTTGACCAGGCTCTGCGAAGGAATGTCCACTTCGTGTATGTCTCCGGCATTAGTGCCAAGCCAGATACGTTTGCCCTCATCTTCGACATCTGGTGACGGCTTGAAAACTACTGATGTGATTTTTATGTTTTCGCGATGCTCCATGTTAAGCAATTGCTCACCCGTGCGGAAATTCCACGCTTTCGTAATGTAGCCAGTCGTACATACATACTCGCCACAGACAGCAAACAATCGGGTGTCATACTCAGTAGGTATTTGCCAAGGCCGCTGCTTGAACTTTGGCGCTCTTCGATTCGATTTCGTCCCATCTGGGAAGTCATTCAAACCTGTACCTTCGCGACTCAGCGATTGTGGCAGGAAGTCCTCGTAATCATCCCTAGATTGACGTGTCATGCCATTGGTACTTGGTGTCGTTGGTATGCTTGAAGATGGAGGTGGCGGTGGTTCCCGCCGACGGTCTGCGGATCTCCGAGGTGCTGGTAATGCTGGAGGTTGAATTGGAGTTGTTACAATTGGAGATACCGTGGAAGAAGCGATAGAGCCCTTCCTGTCGAAGCCTTGTGTCAGTGCAGACCTGGTGTTCACCTTATGCACAGCAGGTATTCGTGGTCCAGATTCCAGGTCCACTGATGCTCGCTGCAATCCATCTACAGATCGTTTCGGTGGCAGCATATGAGATTTCAACGGACTAGTCCTCCCCGATCGTGTCTTTGGTGGACTGACTCGCCCTGAGCGAACTTGTAATTCCGGCCGTGTTGGCAACCTCGGCCTATCTTCAGTGATATCTTCTTGCGGCCTGCCATCACGTCCGGCCACGTTTCGATACCTGGCAGGCATGGTTCCTGTTCGTGTCACGGCATGTGGCATCCAGCTGTCTGGAAGGGTTGATGGCTCCACAAAGGATGCATTTGAGCCAGATCTTGCACGTTCCGCAAACGATGAGTCTGAATCTCCTCGTAGCCTTGTGACCCACGAAGCATCAGAATCTTGCCGCACTCGATGCACTGCGGATGCATTTGACTCGTTCCTGGCACGCGTACCTTTCGCCTGAGCATCTTGCGTGATCGCCGGCGAGCTACCACCGCTGCTAGGCGGCGTGCTGAAGGGCGACGCACTTCGGTCTGATAGCTCTGCACTCAGTTCTGGAGCAGCTGGGTTGTTGCCAGTCTTCTTAACCAAAAGTATGGGCTTTACCGGAACCTTAGGTTTGGCAGCACGATTGACGGGAGGCGGCGCTGATGACGCTGATGCAGTCTCTGGTCTAAACTCCACGTGAGGCTTGGGTTCCGGTTGTGCTGATTTTGATAGCTCCTCGGAACGATGTGCAGCTTGTGTGTCCGCGGCTTGCAGGAATGCATTCATTCGCGCTTCCAATGCTGGAGTAGCAGACCTACTGATATTCCGTGAATGCGTTTCGTTCATAGACCCGCCGGTCCGGTTCGGAGTCAAGGGCTGCACAGGGGTGCTCCCACCAGATGGACGTAGATCAACCGACAAGGCCTTGTGTGGCGATCGAGGAGATTTTGGCGACGTGACTGCTAACAGTGGAGGCGAAGACTGCTTGGGAGAAGTAGCACGCATCGATACTGGTCGCGGTGTCTGGAGCAGTGGCTTGCGTGGAGTTGGCGCGAGCATAGCCTGAGCACCTCCAATCGTGGGCAGTCCTGGTGCTATTGACTTGGCCTCTCCTCCGGCAATCTTCGGCCTCCCAGCCAGTGCTGTGCCATTTGCGCCTAGCCTGGAGCCTACTGTCGCCGACGGAGGCGCATTGTCTTGTTCCTTCCCAAGATTTTCAAACCTGGAGCGCAAAGACGATATGGGCTTGATCGAGGAAGTGTCCGGGCCATCGCCTTGCCCCTCCATGGCCGTGTTCTCCAGCCTCGAGTGTGAAGTGTTGGGGCTGCTTGTTGCGAATCTCGCTGACAGCCGGCTCCGCCTCCGCTATGTCTTCCATGAAATCGCCCTCAACACAGCTCTTGCGATGTTTGTTTGTCAATCAGCGGATTCGGTCAGCTCGCAAAAGTTGGACTTCATGCCAGCACTCGGCCAAGTCAGGCCATTGTCCGTTCCGCGCAATCCCTGGCAGCCTGCTTCTCTCGAGATCCTTGGTTGTTTTGGAGAGGCTGCGAATTTGGCAAGGGGTGGAAAAGAAATAAATATTGTACTCCGGATTCGTGTCTCGTTGGGCGCGGGCGGATGCTTGTGACAATGATTCTTCAGGCCCACTGCTCATGTTGCTACCAGCACTTTGATTCAGTACTAGTGAAAGGGAACGACGCGATCCGCCTCCGCCTGCTGATCCCTGTCACGCCGAAAGTGAAACGAGAGTTTCGGCGGAGACCCTGGACGCCCACGCGATCCCGTGTTTCAGCTTCTCGCGCTTGTCTTCCTCACTTCACCACTACAGATCGCGTGCCGTACTGCTCAACACACCTGCAGACACCATGTGGTAGGTAATCACCGTATGCCAAGGATCACATGCTCACGTGTACTCAGCAAACATATCCTCAATGCTCAAGTCTCGATTCGATCACCCTGCTGCAAGCAGTGGTTCGATTGTGCAGAGTGCCATGCGGAGACCCAGACACACCAACTCAAGCAGGCCATGGAGATGACCTTCGCCTGCAAGAAGTGCAAGAAGTGCTTTCGAAAGGACATGAACGAGTATGAAGACAGTGATGAGTACTGTCCCCACTGCGACAACCATTACGTTATTGAGGCCAAAGAGCCAAAGGCGCGTCTGGAGGTGGAGGGTGAAGATGTGCGGAAGGATGCACGCATGCTTAGGGATGAGCGCATGAAGGCGATCAAGGAGATGTCCATATGGGATGATGAGGGTGACGCTGCCCGACTCGGCTGAGAGAACACAAAATCACGATAAAGACGATTACGAGCAACGAGGAAAGTGGAAACCAGGTCATTGGAAAAATGGGCCAGAATATCATGACCTACTTGCACTGCTGTCTCTCGTCGGATCCTTTAGGCCTGCTACATGGCTAACAGCTCATCGACGCCAATAGTCGAAGAACGGAGCCATGGCCCACTTACAACAATTGCAAAAGAAGATCTGCATATCTAGCCACCGCGTGCGTATCACCTGGGGGACTATCGCCAGTTAAGGTCCATCAGTAACGGCTTTATTCTCATCAACAGACTGCACTAAGCATCCTCCCCCGACCCAACTGCATTTCCAACTGGCGACTGAGAGAGTCTCGGCAGACTCAAGAGCCCACCAAGCCGAAAAACCAATGATTTACTCCCATACTGGAAGCCTGGGATTATATCTCTTGCGACTAGCGACTCACAGTAGGCGATTGGGACACCAACATGAGTCGATGACTGCCTCGCTATCAGCCAAGCTTCAAGATGTGTAGTACAGAACTAGAGTAAATGAATGTTAGGACTTAGCTCTCATTCTCCTAATTGTCCCGAACCTGCGAAGGCCCAAATTCACATCAAACAACCAAAAGGACATCAATCCTCGAATGTTGGGGGCACTGGGTATCTCACATTCAGCCACAACACCTGCTCCACCTCGGAACGGAGGATCGCCCCTCATCCTCCTTGCCTCCTATCTAAGACTCGTAATCGCACAAGCCTTTCATCTGAGTCCCACAGCAACCAAGTTAATTAAGACGTGGAGATTGCGATGACAATGCCCTGACAGCACCAAATACTACGACAAATGCTGCTGCGAACAACGCGCATCGCCGAAAAGCTGTACTAGTCGATTTTGGCGAATACTGGATGTGGGTTCTGTACGCCCATGTGAGGCAAAGGCGATAGCAAAGTCCTGCAGATGGCATTGAGTTGGGTCATAGTATCGCCATTTGCAGGCAAGCATATCAGACAGAAAACGACGCGCCTTATTGAAGTAATTTGCATGATCTCTATTGGCTTCAGGCCGGCTCACGAGGCAGGCACATTAGCTACTGTGGTAATACAATGCTCACTGAAAGCCAGCGAGCGAGCGCCGTGCTATGCATTCGTTCTCCGCTCTCCTTCATATGTCCAGCTCTTACAAGTACAAGCCCTCTGGCTCACCCTCGCTCTTCGTCTTGAGCACACTTTCACGCGCAGATCGGAAGTCTGCCATGTTGACTCTCATTCTCCGCTCTCGTAGCGCCAATAGACCTGCTTCTGAACAGATGGCACGGATATCTGCACCGCTCAGATCATCCTTTTGCGTGATGAACTCGTCCAAGTCCACATCCTCTGCCAAGTTCATCTTGCTCGTGTGTAGTGTGAAGATCTTCTTCTTGGTATTCTGATCGGGGTTCTCGAAGAGGATCTTTCGGTCAATACGCCCAGGTCGAATAAGGGCAGGGTCGAGGGTCTCAATCTTGTTGGTGGCCATAATGACCTTCACATCTCCACGGTCGTCGAAACCGTCAAGCTGGTTGAGAAGCTCCAGCATGGTCCGCTGGATCTCGCGCTCTCCTCCACTCGTGCTCTCGTATCGCTTGGTACCAATGGCGTCGATCTCGTCAATGAATACGATGGAAGGCGCGTTCTCAGCGGCAACCTGGAAGAGCTGTCGTACTAATCGTGGACCATCTCCAAGGTATTTTTGAATGAGTTCAGATCCAACAATGCGAAGGAAGGTGGCCGATGTTTGGTTGGCAACGGCTTTGGCGAGGAGGGTCTTTCCTGTACCAGGAGCACCGTAGAGAATGACACCCTTTGGCGGCTTGATACCCATCTCTTCGTAGAGTTCAGGATGTAAGAGTGGCAGCTCGACAGCTTCCCGCACTTCCTGAATCTGTGTCTCCAAACCTCCAATATCTGCATAGGACTCTGTTGGCGCCTTATCAAGCTTCATCACTGAAACAGCGGGATCGGCGTCGTCCGTCAGCACACCGACCACTGATACGCTCTTGTGATGCAGCAGGATTGACGCGCCGGGCTCGAGGAGATCCTTATCGACAAAGCTCATGATGGAGACATAGTATTCTGGGCCAGTAGCAGAGGACACAATGGCGTGGTCATCATCAATCAGCTCCTCCAGGTTTCCAACACCCATCGGCGAGCCTCGCATGTCGTCAACTCTACTCCGCTCATCGGCATTCCTGTCGTCGGCTGCTCCTTCGCCGCCAGCCGAGGCCGCTGGCTTCTCGTTTGCCGCTTTCGCCTTTCTTATCCGCTCCTGATTTTCGACGAACTCCTCCTCCAGCAGTAAGTGATCGTGTACTCGCTGCATGCGCAGATATCGCAGTTTGCATCGCGCGGTCGGATAGACTGTGGGGAGTTTGGCGGCGGCGTTGGGACCAGCCTGCTTCTTCTTCTTGCGGCCGATACGAGTGGTAGGCTGTGGCGGCGGCTCGTACTTGGGCTTATCCTTCTTGTCACCCTTCTTGTTCTTGTCGTCGCCAGGAGGACCACCGGCGCCTCCCAGGCCAGACTGGTTCTGACCCTGTTGATGGCAAGGTTAGCTGGCATCAAACATGTGTGCGCCGGTGTTTGTTCCGCCTTACCATGCTCGATCAGAACTCGATCAGATTGATGAGTATTCGATGCGTAGTTGAAGGGCCGCTGTGATGCGTGGTGCTGTATAGATCGATGGCGGAGGTGGTGTTGGATGTTTAGTGATGATGGTCGGAGCTGTGTCGCGCCTTCCGGAGAGTGAGTGACGAAGCACGCGCTGCCTGCAGGAAGGAGCTGCGTTTCGGCCCGCCGTCGCCGATGACCTCGATGTCTGCTGGCACCGCTGTCGACCTTGATGAGACGCTTCCACTACTCTTACACGACCATCACGCCATTTGTGGAAGAACTTGACTGTTCACACTGCACACAAGCTTGACTGCCATTCACGTGCAGGCTCACAAGGCAGCAAGGTGTGCCTGAGACAATCTCAGTCTCGTGACGGCCTCGACCCTTCGCTTCTTCCACCTTCGATAGCCGCCAACTGAGACGACTCATCTGCACCGCCAGCGAGCCTCTCCCGATCCGTGACCGTGACTCTAAGTACATCTCACGCAAACAGATTGCTTGAGCCTCGGCGGAGGCAACCACGTAGTACAAAATCCCAAGAAATCCATCTACTTCCACATCATACGCATACGCATACCATCCCGACTTCCACATCACAAGTCTCCCCAACATGGCTTCCAACAGGAATCGCCGTTTGCAGAAGGAGATTGCCGACATCCTCAAAGACCCGCAGTCCGGCATCAGAATCACATCTCCGCAAGGCTCATCTGACATCACCGACTTTACGCATTTCAAGGGCCACTTCCGCGGTCCACCAGATACTCCATATGAGGGCGGCAAGTACGAGATCGACATCCGGATAACCAGCGAATATCCTTTCAAGCCGCCCGAGATGCGCTTCATCACAAGGATTTGGCACCCAAATGTCTCTTCCCAGACAGGTGCCATCTGCCTCGACACGCTGAGCACTGCCTGGAGTCCAGTCCTAACGCTGAAGAGCGCACTAATCTCGCTCCAAAGCCTCTTGAGTAGTCCTGAACCGAAAGACCCACAAGATGCTGAAGTCGCTCGCATGCTTATTACGCGGCCCGAGGAGTTCAAGCATGTTGCGCGAGAGTGGGCCATCAGACACGCTGGAGCGCCGAGACCGCCTCCTGGTAGTGGCAAGGGCGGAGCAAGCAGCTCCATGGACCATGAAGAAGCAACTGCCGAGGAGAAGAAGAAAATGGACGACAAGGAGGCGAAGAAGGCAGAAGAGAAGAGACGGCGAGAGGCCTACAAGGGATACAACAAGCACATGATCGATCAATTCGTGCAGATGGGCTTTGGCGTAGATCAAGTCGTGTCTGCTTTCGAGTATGTTGGGATTGACAAGGCTGGAGGTGAGCAGTACGAGCTTGAGGAGGAGTACATCGGGGACGTTACCGCGCGGCTCTTCAACGAGGCGTAGACTCCAGGCGATAATTCGATCACGGACCGAGGAAAACCACAACTCCCCACTTTTGATGAAGAGAGCTCCGACTTGAACTTCTAGCGGCATTTCAGCGATCGACTTCTTCTGGGTATGGGTATATGGGCTGCATTCGAAGGGCGAGGCGCTAGGCTGGCTTTACTGTGGTGAGCGATGTGTGTTACGTGTGCAGATATGATATCAAACCAACAATCACTGTTCATGGCCGTGATGAAGCCGTGGCATCAAATCAAAGCACCCACTGTCTTCGAAGCTACTGACATACTCGCAATCAGGGTTATTATTTCTTCGCGAGAGGAGGTACAGACGATGAGTCAGTTCCATTGACCGATAGCTCTCTCGCATCCTGTATAGAAGGCCTACCATCGCACCCGACTCTTCCCCGATCCATCCTCGCCAATCCTCAAAGCGAGGCATCACGAGACAATTGCGTGCAACCCCAAGACAAACACAACGCGAACCCGAGCTGGAAAATTCCTACTTCAACAAACAGAATCCCAACAACGACAACACCACCTCAATGCCGCAACCACAATGTTCACTTCCCTATCCAACAAACTCCACTTCCTAGTCCTCGCCTTCGAACCCCTTCTAGTCGCCTTCAACCTTTCCAACAACATCCCCTTCCACATCCGCTGGCGTCTCCTTCCCCTCCAACTCCTAAACTGCCTCGCAATCCCCCTAAAAGTCCTCCCTTACACATTCAGCAATGCCTACGAAGTCCTCTGGATCCCTACAAGAAGACCTGGTCAAACCGTGCGAGCTCTAATCTTCACATACCCCCCAAATCATCTCAAACCAAACACTCTTTTCCTCTCTACATCGACTTCCACGGCGGAGCTTTCATATCCGGAATCGCAGAAATAAACGCCTGGTTTTGTCACACTCTCTCCCAACTGCACGAATTCCGTAGTCATATCCGTCTGCCGAGGACCGTCACGCGCCAGTTTACGAATTTCCTGCTGCGCATGAGGACGCAGAGGATGTTGTGGAATGGTGTATCACCAACGCCGAAAGGCTCTGGAACGCTGATCCGGAGAATTTCAGAGATGTGCTGACATCTCTAACAAACAGTGCCGCAAGCTTTTATTGATGCAGAAGATCGAAGACAGGCTTGGGATAAGGCTGTGGAGTTTATTGTTGATGCTCATCAGAGAGAGTAAGGGCTTGGTGGTTTGGTGGTTGGTTACTCGCCGCTCAAGGCCTGCGGAAACTTGTGCACCCTCCTCATCTTGATGCCTCTTTGGAAATCATTCCTTGCAAGAGTTAACATCATCTTCGAAATCAGTATGTTGTTCTCTGAGACAGCTTCTGCAAGCTTGGAGGAACGCATTCTCTCACAGGCTTTTGATTTACCGAACGAGTTACAATACTGTCGAAGACTTCCTCTACGCTCGATACTCCAGCGCCTTCTAACAGCCCTCAGCATTATCCAGCACACTAAACTGCGTCGAATACTGAAATTCTCCCGTCCCGTCCACAATCACCAACATTCCGTACCCACTATCTGTCTTGGCTGTACCCGCCTTGAGATCGCAAGGAACATTCCATGTCCAAGACTTGTCCGACGCAGGGATCTTTTCCACCAAAGCTTTGTCGTCGATTTTGCAAGTGTTGGAGTTTCCTCGACAGAGGACGAGAGAGACTGTGACGCCGTCGACTTCCTTGGGCGTGCCGTCCCAGGTCACGGTGAAAGGCTTGCCTTTGGTGACCGGGTGAGTGACGTCGGGGAGTCGGAGGGCGTTCCAGGTTGGGTCTGCTTGCGGTTTGGTGTATGCTGAGACTAGGCTAAGGGTACTGAGGAAGAGGAGTTGGAGTTGCATCTTGGTAGCCGAATCTTCGAATGTAGGCTTGGTGGAATTTCTGTGGCGGTGGAGTGGAAATGGTCTCAAGTCCCTGAATGTGATCTATTATGTTTCTGAAGTGCTGCGGACATTTTCCTATATAAAAGGCGTTGAACCCTTGCTATCGAGATGAGGCTCTGGTGGCGGAGGCATGGACACCCTTGTAACGGAAAACGCGGTGGCCAAGAATAGTATGAACATTTGTAGGAGGGTGACTCGTCTACACCCATGGCGGCGTCTAATTGCAAACGAACTCATCGTGGACATCTCCAGTCCTGTATGGCTCTGTTCAGGGCGACACGAATGTTCTTTCCGACCGCTGCAGTGTGAATGTGAAGGGCAGGGAGCCAGCCCTTGCTAGCAGCTCGGCTCGGCTCGGCTCGACGCCCGCAGCCGGACCAATAGGCGCACAGAGCTCGACTCTTGGTTTTCATTCACTCCCTTCTGCTCGGCAGACCTGAACACAACTTCTCAGGATTCTGGACTGCATATGTGTGAAAGACACATGAAAGAGGCTCAGCTCGGCATCCAAGTCATCAGGCATGTCCTTCGACAGGTATACGCTCGTAGCCTCGCTGCTGGTCATCCCTGGTCAACGGCTATCCACCATGACCATGAACATGGCAAGGATAAAACAAACCTCCGTAAACATTGCTCGATGGAACCGCCTTCCTGCATTCGCTATCAAAACAATTGTACATAAAATTCAAAATATCTTCGTCAGCAGTAAGGAAGGACGGGGGAATTGAATACAGAGAGTAAACATACTTGAGCGCCACACTCTTTTCGGCGTACGTATTACAGTGGACGGCGGACAAATGGATTCTGACTCTCATCAGGCCGCATGCATTCCATTGATGTGCGCAACTTCCTGCGCATTTGGCCCGCTGTTGTCATCTTCGTGGCACTCTTTTGGCTCTTTTCAGGAAGTATACCCGTCAGGATCAGGAACTCTGCTGTCCCCGTGTCCGAAACACATCCGCAGACGGCTACCAAACATGCAGACGACAGGCCAGCAGTCACGCTGGTGGTAGCAAGTTTGAAAAAAGAGAATACTGCGTGGCTTGAAGCTACGCCTCCAGGCTGGCAGAAGCTGGTATATGTAGTTGACGACCCTAGCGCTGCCCTCAAACCGCCATCCAACAAAGGCCGCGAAAGCTCAGTGTACTTGACGTATGTAATCGCGCAGCTTCCGACCGTGTTCCAAACTCACAAACCCTAGCTACATAATCGACAACTACGAAAAACTAACCGGCACCATCATCTTCTCCCACGCGAGCCGATATCAATGGCACAACGACGACCCCCTCTACGACGGTCTACAAGTCCTTCGGCATCTTCAACTCCCATACATCCAAACTCAAGGCTACGTCAGCCTTCGCTGCGTCTGGACAATAGGCTGTCCCGCCGAAATCCATCCTGTGACCGAAGCACTAGCCCCGCCACCAGCTTCCAATGCCTCATCCCAGGAAGCACGAGCAGGCTCTTTCTACAAAGAAGTCTTCCAAGAACTCTTCCCCGGCGACCAAGTCCCAGAAGTCGTAGCTGCTCCCTGTTGTGCACAATTTGCCGTCACAGCCGAGAGAATTCGAACGAGGCCGAAGTCCGATTATGAACGTTATCGAGGCTGGTTAGAGAAGACTCCTCTTCGAGATAGCATTAGTGGGAGGATAATGGAGTACTCGTGGCACAGTGAGTTTGAGTTCTGGAAAGGAAAGCAAGAATCCATGACATGAAGGGGACTGACTTTTTCAAAAAACAGTCATTTTTGGCAAAGATCCAGTTTCTTGTCCGAATGCGAAGCAGTGCTATTGCAATCTATATGGAATCTGTGATTTGAATTGTGAGGAGGAGGGGGTGTGTAGCGCGATGTACACTTTGGCTAAGTACTCTGTCCTTCCTGAAGGTTGGCCTGACGTTGATTGGGATGGGAAATGGCGAAATGTTACTGAGATTCGTGGCAGTTTACCATACGTATACGGTTCGTAGCCGGAAGTCATTGTCTCGCATTGCCGATGTTTGTTCACTCCATTCCGTTACAGCTTTTCATTCTTTCTGGCTTTTAGCCACGAGCCGAGTCCTCTCGATACCACACAACTACCTTATATTTAGCCAGGGCCCATCAACCGAATACCCGCCCGACACTGGAAAGACAAGCGTCAGCTTCACAACCGCTCTTCCCAGGTAGTTACCTTACCACAATGCCAAGAGACACATGGTACTCACCACCAAAGCTCTCTCGCAATTAATTCGTGTGAAGATTTCCTGGTTGTTCTCGTGTGCCGCGTGTGATTTAAGACGGTACCAAGCAAACCAAAAGAGCGAGCCCAGGAAGACGCCTGTTGATAGCAGCAACACTAGATCTTCAGGATAGTTGAAGAACAACAGGGCAAGTATCAGACCACAGAGCAAAGCGAGACTGATTAAGAGCTTGGTCTCCCGGTCAAAATTCTTTGGTTTTGGTTTCCTAAGGAGGTACTCTGAGATGTAGACTCGTTCTCGATGCTCGTTTCTGTGCCTCCTTGCTCGCGGAGGCATTTCAAAGCAAGTGTCTTGTTTCTGCTCGAAATTCGAAGAATCGGGGCTGAAATGCGGAAGAGATTGTGACACTGGTGAGGAGGCGGCTATATGGTGGATAATGCTTGCTGCGACTCATCTTGATTCTGATCTAGCGAGATCTCCACGCTCAGAGAAGAGCTGCTTTCAGTCGATTGAAGCACGTGCTCATGTGAGCGACGATCCTGTGGACTGACGCCTAGTGTATGTCGAACCACTGATCATGTCCTTCCAGGGATTCTTCAGGAAGCGATGAGCATCTGGTACGAAGAGAATGATTTCAAATCCAAGGAGACACCACATACATTCGGATTTCTCGACTTCGCGTTCATTTCGTCGCTGCAGCCGCGATATATCGACTTGATGGAATCTCTTCGATGTGCGAGTGAGCACCTGGGGGAATCCTCGTCTTGTCATTCTGTACGGATGCACAATGCAAGCTCAATGCATCGTCTCTGTCACTTTCCAACCAAACGACGTATAGCCGGGTAAGAAATTCAGCACCCCTGATTCAGCCCAGCATGCTCCTCGCCTACTATAGTAATTCCCTATAATCTTCATTCAGAAGTAATGGAACTCTTCCCCTTTCTCAGCCTTCTTCTTACTGCCAGGAAGTACCACAAAATACTTCATCCCAGCACCATTCCGAAAGCAAGGCTGTGTCGCATCGCGACCGAGCTGACACGCCACCCAAGGCTCGCCATGCCACTGTGTCCTCTTGCCAAGCGTCACCCTAGTGGAAGCGCAGCCGACGATCTCGCCAGCCGACCACGAGTGAAGGCGGCGCTTTCGAGACTCATTGACAGCCTCGTTTGTAATGTTCTTCCACGTGTCTGCGATCATCTTGATCTGAGCTGCAGATAAGGTAGACACTTTGACCAGATCCGTCGACTTGTGCTGTGCTTGACCAGTTCGTAGTCCGTATATGTTCTCAACTGCTGCTTTCAGGTCTCTTGCGGGTTTGGTGGGATGAGGGAATTCTAGAGCGATTAGTCATAGTGCGTGAGTAATCGCAAGTGACTTACTTGGATAGGTCTGAGCCTTGGGCTCGACAGGTTGTAAGGGAGCGATGAGATACTCGGCGTCTTTATGCTTGGGGCGCTTGAGCAGCGGCTCGTCGTCTTCTGCATCTTCTACAGTGGCTCGTAGGCGCTTGTTGGTTTTCGGAAGCTGTCGAACTGGCGAAGATTGTGTCTTTGATAGATTGCCGTGGCGGAGTGAGTCGTCCAGGTCGTCGACGTTCACAGCCTTGCTTGCGCCCTGTCGCAGTCGCAGCTTGTCTTCTGCTGCCTTCCGCATCCTGCGCTCGCCTTCGAGCTCCATTTCGAGCTGCTTGATCCGAGCATCAGACTCGCTGCGACGATCGAGAAGCTTCGACTCAAGACCTTCCGCTTTCTTGCGGAGACTCTCTTCGTGCTGCCGTACATCCTCCAAAGCCGCGATGGCTATATCAACCGGGTCTTGCTGCGCCATGTCAGGATGCTGTCACTTGACAGTGTTGTTTCGCGACTTGGTTTCATCGATGTGAGATACACCAGCCTTTCTGCGGGCGGCCCAGGCTAGTCGACTGCACGGCCATTTCGATGTAAGTGCACACTCTTGCTAGGCAACCGCGAAGCTCCTAGATGCTGCTGTGCGGAGGTCTTGGAGCCTCTCGAGCCGACTCATAGCCTGATGGAGAGTGAACAATCCCATCAGTCTCTACGCGATCCGCAGCTCAGCGTCCAGAGCAAGGTGATGTTGAAGCCAACGAAGCGATTCTTATTCAATCAATGCCCCAGTAGGAGACCGAGGGGGAGTTGTAGAGCGCGAAGCTTCTCGTTACACTCAAGGAACTGTGACCAGGCAGGACACTCGCTCGATCCTTTGAGTATTGCCTTCTACGCAGTTGAACCTCAAAATCACTTTCCATGCATCACTTCTATCGGCAAGAGCGACCAGAAGCACAGAGTTGGAGGGAAGACAATTAGCACTTCTCCTGTCCTCTTCCAAAGATCAGTGAAGCTGCGCAGAATGGAATGAAATGGATAGCATGTGTCTCGCAAAGCTATCACGTCTCTTTTGGCAAGGAACTCAGCCGTCTACTTGGCGTAATGCCTTTGGTGAGTTGTTGGGGTCCTGAACTCTGACGAAATGCCAGGGTGGAGGGTGGATGGTCTCGTGGTTGCGGAAAGCTCACAAGATGAAAGCAACAGCCATATCAACGCCGCTTTTCGTGCGCTTCATTCTTCGTTCCTTTTCCTACCATACGATTCCATTCGGAGGGTATCTCTGATAAGCAACGCCGAATGCAAAATCATTCATGTCTTCATACCTCATGTCCGCGAGTACATAACCAAGTTCATGTTCGATTGCATATGAATGTTGTGAGAGACGCTGTCAATGCCCCTCATGGGATCTGTCATCACGAAGTCGAAATGTCGCATAATCTATCCTCGTCAGTGGTCGCGTGGAGATGACATTAAAAGGACACGTACCTCGAAGATGGACTTGTGCAACTCCATGGTAGCGATATGCTTGCCCAAGCACTGGAATCGACCAGTCCCAAATATCACGTCAACCGTCCGGAAACGTTTGGCATTGAGTGCCTCGTCCTTCTCGAGAAATCGCTCCGGCCGGAAAATGTGAGCGTCCTCGCCAAAGATGTCCTTCTTGCGGCAGACAGCATCATCGCAGATTGCGACGCCCGTGCCTTCGGGGAAGAAGATACCTCCAACCTCCTCGCCACCCGGTGGTGCCGTCTTCTCCTTCAGGCCGAACAAGGGGGGAAACAAGCGCAGAGCCTCTTGAATCACAGCCTTCAGGTACGGCAGCTTCTGGGCAGCAGCATACTTGATCACCGAGCCAGTGGGAGCTTGACTTGAAGCGGCATCGACTTCGTGTCTGAGCTTGCAGTAGACTCGTGGACTGCCGGCAAGGAGAAAGATGCATGACCGAAGCGCAGTCGTCGTGGAGTCCGAGCCAGCAATGATTTGCAAGAAGGATTCAGCCTCGCACTGAAGCTGAGGAAGACCCTGCTCTACGAAAGATCCCAGCATGTCTTTCTTCACCTTGGCGTCCGGACCAAATCTTTCCGCCACTGCTTTTCTGGCAAAGGCGAGGGCCGGCCCCAGACCAGTCTTGTCGGTCAGCTTGGGCGCCGCAAGTGCTTGGACCCAATCTAACGAGAGCAGCCACCTGATCGGGCTATGATTTGCTGTCAAGCCGAGGATGAGCATGAAATCACGCGAGGTCTTGTTGTATTCCCAGAGATCCTCGTCGGCGGCCATGAAGCCGAAAGGTCTGCCAAACGCGAGCGTACTGAGCACATCCAGCGTGAAGTACCTTGCCACCGAGGCGAAATCGACCGAAGTGCCTTCATGTTTGCGGAGCAACTCGATGAGATCTCCTATGCGGGCCTCCATGTCAGGCTCGAGGCTTGCAATGTCTCGTCCATTGTACTGCAAGGCGTCAGTGTCACCGATTCGCCATCGCCGAGGCTTTCCGGATTGTCCTCACTGCGCCCGCCTCCTTTGATTTCAGCTCGGCGTGCAACTTCTCATCACGAGCGGAAAACACACTGTCCCTCCGCGGATCCATGCGCATGGCATCATACCAGCCCGATCTTGTCCACTTTGACGCGGGAGCATTCATGCGCATGATCAGATCCGCATCATCGGTGACAACGAGGTCATGGCCAATACGAGCCGGGGATCCTACACGCGCGTCAGTCGAGCCGTCTCCCATCTTTTCGGGCGTGAGCTGCATGTACTACCTACCATATTGCTCGAGAGCTGCCACCTGCGACCTGGGAAGCTGGCCTGCACACTCCTTCCAGAACAGCCAGAAGCGAGAGAAGCTCGCGAGCGGCGGCCCTTTGAATTGACTGAGGCGTCGGTAGCTGATGATGGCACCGATGAAGTAGTACGAGAAGAAGAGCACAGCAGCAGGAATCAAGAGGCCCGACGCGGAGCCCATGCTGTCGGTATCACTCTGGTTTCTCTGACTTCAAACGACACCCCACCAACCCAATGATCAGGGCGAGAAATATTCTAGGCGACCCTGGCTGCGGAACCATTCACTCGGTGCCTGCTTTGATATCAAGTTTCCGGCCCGACAACTTCTTGCCTGGCAGTGCAATCACCTGTGATGAGGAAGACATCCTGGAAGCGCTGTGCAAGCAGCGAGCGGGAGATAGAATGCTGCCAACGCGCTAGGATTGATTGAATCCGCTTGGCGATGCGGCACGGAACTCTCGCTATTCTATGCAACGTCCTGCCAGGATAGGATGGGCCGTTGAGTTCCTCCCGCCTAAAGCAAATCGGTTTCGGTCTACGTAAAGCGGCCGAGCGAAGGGCTCTCGTACGCGCTAAGCTTAAGAAGCGGAAGTCTAATAAGTATAGGCTATTAGATTATACCTAGTATTATCGGAGGGTTTATAGCTTAAATTATATATACTAGATACTAGTACTTAAGGAGTCTATAACCGGTATTATTACTATTCGTATATTTAAGAAGTACTAGCGAGTACTAAGAAGCGATTATAGTAGTAACGAGATAGCTACTTACGGCGTAACTTGCCGTACCTTAGAGCTACTTAAGCGGATTAATAAGCGGCTTAGTCGTACGACTCGGCGTAAGGCTACTAGACCTAAGCTAATTAAATAGGCTACTAAATAGGCCGCTAGATAGGCTGCTATTAACTAGTAGGAAGCGATAAGATAGGCTAAGTATTAGGGCTAAAGAGGCTATACGTAATTAGTATATAGCTAGACCGAGTAAAGCTAGGGTCTTAGTACCTTAGGTAGGGCTTAGCGCTTAGCGTTAGGTTAACTAGCCTACCTTCCTCCTTCTCCTCCTAGATCTCTATTAAATACTATACTAACCTACTACTATCCTATCTACCTACTAATATAATCCTTCTTATATAGTATTCGATCTACCCTTTAAGGATACTAGTAGCTAGATAGTCCTTATTTTAAGCTTTTAGCGGTATAGCTACAAAAACTATCGATTTAACTATATTACGCCTAAAGAACGGGACCTATACGTACTATTCTACTAAAATAACCGTACTAATTATTAATTAAGGCCTTCTATACGGCCTATTATACTAAGTTAACTATACTAGGCCGATACCTACTAATTCCGCTATATCCGTACTATAGGGGCCTACGATACATTATTAGTACTACCCCTTATTATAATAGCCGGCTTATTACAAAGCAATAACAATCGCGGTACCGCTAGTAGCGCTAGTAATAACAATACTAGTAGTATAGTGCCTACTAAAGAGCCTACTAGAGGGCCTACTAAAGAACCTATAGTTCTAGGTAATAATCTAGAATTGCCTATTAACGACATTCTTAATAATATTGTTAATCGACGATATAGCTAACTAGCCTTTAGCCCCTAGCTAATAGCGAGACTTTAAGAAGCTACTTAGAACAGACTTACTACCTTACGTTAAGAACAATAGCTAAAGGATAATCTCCTCGAAATTTACCGCCTATAGGAAGCCCTAGTAACTAATACTAAGCCGATAGCAATTCCTTCCTTACTATTAGTCTAAAAGAAGGATGCTAAACTTAAGGACTATACTATATTTAATAGCTCTAGTTAAAAGCAATATAACGACTATATTTGTAACTATAAGCTTAATTAGCGAAACGCACTAAGGGCCCTTCTAGACGACTATTCGTTAGTCGTCTATGCTATATAGTATATTAATAGAGACCTAGAGCGTACCTAGGACGACTATTTTAACTCCCTTAATAATTAGACCGCTATTTAGTAGTAGGACTATAAGACTATTATGCTAAACACCCTTAGCAACCCTATATTACGATAGTAATATATATAGGATTAATACCTACGTACTAAACAAAAGGCCGACTAATCTTCTCGATCCTTCGAGGCCTATTTAAGGACCCTTAAGGACGATTTGCTAGCTAAGACCGACCCTATCTAGATCTCCGAAATATGCCCTAAACTAAGATAGGAACTAGTCCTTAAATTAGACCGCTGCCGTATATTTAAACAGGCTAATCTAATACGTATTTAATTTATAGTTGAAGTAGAAATAGCCGAACGAGCTATTTAGCTTTAGTAACAGCTAGAATCGAGGATCCGACTAGCTAGTACTAACTACGGCAACTATAGTACCCGCGGAGGAAACTAAGGTTCCTACTAAAACAATAATACTAATAATAGGAATAGTAACAATAACCGTAGAAGAAGCCGTAGCCGGCAGCTATATAGAGGAGGCTAGGATAGGGGCTATAGAAGGGGCTCGTATCCCTATAGTACTAACCGCTCTACTAATAGTAACAATAGCTACGGTAATGTTCTAACCGGATTAAAGTGCTTTAACTATAATAGCACTAGCTATCTTCTAGGCTAATATAACAAACCTAAGGACTAGGCCTGTATTAACCGTACTTCCGCTAAGTATAGAAGGCACCTTTTAGTAGCTAACGCTATCCCTATAGGCTAACCTTCTAATTAATCGAAAAAAGAATAAGCGCTGCACTAACTATTAGCCTTATACGGCGTAAAACTATCGACATTATACTAGCTATTATACGCACCTGCCTTATATAAGACACCTAGGGCACTAACTATAAAAGCAGTATTATACTAGACCTAGGCAACTTAGTTAGTACCCTTATTAGCTATCGCCTAGCTAAACAATTAGACCTTCGACAACTAAATAGGACTAATATACTAATCCTTGCTTAGTTTAATAACGCTCGGCACTTAACCTATAGGGCCTACTATATTCCTATAGTTCTAAAAGACGACCTCGGCAATAAGCGCTTATTAGACTTTACTACCTACGTAGTAGATATAGATAACCTTCTATCCGATATTATTATTAGTAACCCTGTCCTTAAGCACTACGTAGTAACTATAGACTATTAGAGGCTATACGTAATTAGTATATAACTAGCTCGAGTAAAGCTAGGGTCTTAGTGCCTTAGGTAGGGCTTAGCGCTTAGCGTTAGGCTAACTTAGACCCCGCAGTAGTTCGGTTTCCGAACTACTAAACGTATATAGTTTGGTTTCTTAGCGGCGAACTAGCTCCCTAGTTCCGGTTTAGTTTTTTCGAACTATATAGATTCCTAGTTTAAACTAGAGACTATATTAGTTTTACTATAAGGACACTCTTATTCGACTGCCGGCTACGATTGCCGGCTATAATAGTAACTATGTTATATTTACTACGCTCTTTTGCCGTTGCTAGGGCGTAGTTGCCGTTGCTAGGGCGTAGTTTTACTACAAGGATACTCTTATTCGACTACCGGCTACGACTACCGGCTATAATAGTTACTAGGTTATATTTAATACGCTCTATTGCCGTTGCTAGGGCGTAGTTGCCGTTGCTAGGCCGTAGTTGCCGTTGCTAGGGCGTAGTTACCGTAGTTGCGAAAGCTTACCTATATAACGTTACATAGGCGGCAACAATTAGGGCTTCGCGATATTCTTATATCTTTTAAATTCTTCCTCTATACCTATACCGACAATAACTACTATACGCTACGCCCCTACCTCTTTTCCTTATAATAGTAAGAGAGAAGCGCGCCGCGCGCTAAATAGAAGATAGAACTAAAGACCGCGAGTTTATTTTGCCTAAGCGTCTAACTAAAAAGCGTAAGACTAAAAAGGAGTACTCTACGAAAAAGAATTCCATACGAGACCGCGAGAGAAAGGAGAAGATAGATAAGGATAAAAGAGCTAAGGATAAGAGAAGAAAGGCGTAGAATAAGGCATTCTATCGATAGCTAGCGCCTATAGAAAAAAGTAAAGGTTAGAATAAGAAGACAAGCTAAGAGAAGGCTAAGAGGAGGAAAGAATTGCGGCTAGTTTTCGAGCGTAAAGTTCTAGTAGCGTAAGTTAATCTAGCTAGCGGCCGTAGCCGGTAGCCGTAGCCGGTAGCTATAGCCGGTATATTTTTCTTTAAGACGTTAACTAATAGCATTTAGACCTATAGCCGCTACCTCTATCGATACGACCGATAGTAACGGAGATATTTAGATAGCCGAGAACAATAATTGCGAGCGAAGCTCGCCTTATATAACAAGCTCTACTATAGTCGCTAATCCCCTATCCTGTTACGCGTAACCGCTAAGCTAACCCCGGATTTTAGAAATCCCGCAACCTAATTAGCTAGATTCTACAAGGTAGAGACCTCGAAGCCTTAGGCTATACTTTTACGTTACTTCCTCTAACGCGCGATAATAATAACACTGCGCCTACTACCTACTATCTATATAATGCGACAACGTTACGAGGATGCGCCAATTCCCCCCCCTTTACTAATAGATTCGCTAAGTATACTATCGCGACCTCCGCAAACCTCTATAGACCTTAGTAAACTATACCCTTAGCGAAATGCACCCTTAGCAAAATATACCCTTAGAATAGCGACCTCCGGTAGCAAAACAATTAGAGAATAATTAAGCAGATAAAGACAGTCTACTCGACTAGCATTATTACTACTACCTGTAATATATAGTACCGACTAAGGCCTAAAAAAAAGATAGACCGGAAGTAAAACTATAGACGGGCAGTACCTAGAATCGCTCTTACGGACACGAGATAGACCTCGAGCTTCTAACTCTTTAAGACACGTTACAAATCGACTAAGTAAATATAACTACTAGACTTCGACCTTATACACTTTATAAGTGAAGTGCCGCTATAGAAAATTAGCCGGACTGATTTTAGTAACAATTAACGGCTGCCTAACCGAGACTATTAGCGGTCGCTTCTACTAGATTATTAGGCCTAGCAACCTCGGAAAAAGAGCTAATAAATTAGCCCGGAACCCTACGGCTACGACTACGCCCTAAGCTAATTAGGGGAAGTCCGAGTAGACCGCACGTAGTAGGAATAGTTCTTATTACTAAGGGAATAGGATAAGACCTCGAGACACTATAACTAAGCGTAGAGGATTACTACAACTCCTATACCTA